CAAATCTGAAGAAAAAAAAACTAATTATAAAAAAAGACCAAATTCTGAAAAAAAGACCAAATTATAAAAAAAATACAAAATTATGAAAAAAAGTTCAAATCTGAAGAAAAAAAAACTAATTATAAAAAAAGACCAAATTATGAAAAAAAACAAAATTATGAAAAAAAAGACCAAATTATTGAAAAAAATACAAAATTCGAAAAAAATACAAAATTATGAAAAAAAGTTCAAATCTGAAAAAAAAACGAATTATAAAAAAAGACCAAATTATGAAAAAAGACCAAATTATAAAAAAAATACCAAATTATGAAAAAAGACCAAATTCTGAAAAAAGACCAAATTATAAAAAAAAGACCAAATTCTGAAAAAATACCAAATTCTGAAAAAAATACCAAATTATGAAAAAAGACAAAATTCTAAGAAAATACCAAATAAAAAAATTATAATCATAAAAAAAAAATTATGAAAAAAAGTCAAGACCAAATTATGAAAAAAGACCAAATTATAAAAAAAATACCAAATTCTGAAAAAAGACCAAATTCTGAAAAAAATACCAAATTATGAAAAAAGACAAAATTCTAAGAAAAATACCAAATAAAAAAATTATAATCATAAAAAAAGAATTATGAAAAAAATACAAAATTATGAGAAAAAGTCAAAATTATGAAAAAAAAGTTCAAATCTGGAAAAAGACTAATTATAAAAAAAGACCAAATTCTGAAAAAAATACCAAATTATAAAAAAAATACAAAATTATGAAAAAAAGTTCAAATCTGAAGAAAAAAAAACTAATTATAAAAAAAGACCAAATTATGAAAAAAATACCAAATTATGAAAAAAAGACCAAATTATAAAAAAGACCAAATTATGAAAAAAGACCAAATTATAAAAAGACCAAATTATAAAAAAAGACCAAATTATGAAAAAAAGACCAAATTATGAAAAACGATCAATTATAAAAAAATACAAAATTATGAAAAAAAGTTCAAATCTGAAGAAAAAAAAACTAATTATAAAAAAAGACCAAATTCTGAAAAAAAACAAAATTATGAAAAAAAGACCAAATTATTAAAAAAAATACAAAATTCGAAAAAAATACAAAATTATAAAAAAAAGTTCAAATCTGAAAAAAAAACCGAATTATAAAAAAAGACCAAATTATGAAAAAAGACCAAATTATAAAAAAAATACCAAATTATGAAAAAAGACCAAATTATGAAAAAAGACCAAATTATAAAAAAAAGACCAAATTATGAAAAAAGACCAAATTCTGAAAAAAATACCAAATTATGAAAAAAGACAAAATTCTAAGAAAAATACCAAATAAAAAAATTATAATCATAAAAAAAAAATTATGAAAAAAGACAAAATTATGAAAAAAATACAAAATTATGAGAAAAAGTCAAAATTATGAAAAAAAAGTTCAAATCTGGAAAAAAAAGACTAATTATAAAAAAAGACCAAATTATGAAAAAAGACAAAATTCTAAGAAAAAGACCAAATAAAAAATAATTCTGAAAAAATACAAAATTTAAAAAAAAAGTCAAAATTGTGAAAGAGAAATAAGAGTCATGTGGTCTGAGAGAGTGAAACAGTTTGAGAAACACTGATTTTTGGGGAAGCACCGGATTGGTTGCTCTCCTCTATTGAGAGGGAGATCAATGTGGTGAGAGAGAGTGGTTTGTTTCCAGGTTGGTGAACGAAGGCCACGTCCCGTACGTCAACGCTTACCAAGACCTTCCCGAGGAGATGAAGCTCGAAGGAAAAGACGCTCTCATCTTCAGAGTGCAGGTCAGGTTTGGAGAGAAAGTGTGTGTGTGTGTGTGTGTGTTGTGTGTGTGTGTGGTGTGTGTGTGTGTGTGTGTGTGTGTGTGTGTGTGGTGTGTGTGTGTGGTGTGTGTGTGTGTGTGTGTGTGTGTGTGTGTGTGTGTGTGTGTGGTGTGTGTGTGTGTGGTGTGTGTGTGGTGTGTGTGTGTGTGTGTGTGTGTGGTGTGTGTGTGTGTGTGTGTGTGTGTGTGTGTGTGTGTGTGTGTGTGTGTGTGTGTGTGTGTGTGTGTGTGTGTGTGTGTGTGTGTGTGTGTGTGTGTGTGTGTGTGTGTGTGTGAGATGTATATGTTTTGGTGTTAACGTGTGTTTGGTTGTTTCCCCCGTCAGAGCGTCCCGACCCACCGGGCGGTGCATAAGGAGGCGCAGGCTCTCGCTCTGTTCCTGAAGCTTCCTGCTTTTCCTCCAATCAGCCGGCAGAGTCTGCTGCACCCCGCCATGCTGAGCCTGCGCTACCTGACGGAGGCTAATCTGCCCGGTAACAGCAGCACTGACTCTATGCGTTGGCTCAATACTTTAAAATGTTATTTATGTCACTTTAATTGATGCTACTCATTTTTAGCCATGGTTGTGAACTTATCCGTCTTTATTTTTATTTTATTACTTATGTCTGAATTTTCAGAGAAGTCAGATTTCTGAGATGTTCAGGAAAAGACTAAATCAATGCACATAGTATTACAATGTACACAGGTACACATTCAGGTAGATAGCAGCAGTATGTATACAATGAAATACGTGTAGCGCTGCAGAGTGCAGGGTGCTAGATAACAGAAGTGAAATTATTACTGCACATATTACATGATATACATAATTAACCAGGGACGTGCACAGGTACGGGCTAATGTTGCCCAGGCAACGGCCCGTTTGCCCTTTTTGTCTGACCTGCCTCTCTGGAGAGAGCGAGAGTTTTTAGTTTTTTCTGTTGTGGCTGAATCAACATGAGAAGCCCACCATTAGTATTGTAGCGTCTCGCTGCGATAAAACACACCTCAGTCACGTGACTTTGTTTACAATCTGACAGCTGGAAGCAAAGGAAAGCCCTCCGAAATGTGCTGTGTGTTGAAGTTATTCTATCAAGAGACATTTCTGATCACTTTCTGCTGAGGCTGCAGTGAAAGCTCTCTGGCACTGCGACCTTCACACTGAGGGATCTGGAGGTCAACCCCCGGGTCAATCTGTCCCTGGAAATGTCCCCGTTTTTTAATATGCTGATATTGATTTAGAGTTTTCTCATGGCAGTTAGAGTATAGGGGACAAACCAGGGGACTTTACTTCCTCTTGACACCGTCGGTTATTTACAAAGAAAACACCTAAATATACTTGTTGTTGTGCTTCTGTCTTTCTGTGTCTTTCCATCCGTAAACTCCCTCTCTCTCTTCTCTTGATCGCCCTCTCAGAGACACACTGTCCCGCTTCATGTCTCTACTTTAGTTTGACCATCTCTGTTATGAAGTTATGGAATACTAAATAAATAAGTAATTAGATACCTTACGTTACTGCGCTCATAAAGAATGATAAGAATAGAATAATGTGAATTGAACTGGTTTCCTTAATTAGTGAGTTTATGTAAGGTAAGTAGTTAAAGCTCTATGTTATCAGAGTGTCTGCACAGCAGGTACAAAGGGCACATTACAACAGGACTGTCCCCATTTGGTCTTTAATAGTTACTAACATTAGATACTTTAATGAGATATGGATCGCAAAACAAAAAATGAGCTTGAATAAAGAATTTAGCAGTTGGACATAAAAGTCACTTGGGGGGGGGCTTTGTCCTGTTTAGAGCAATAGCCCCTCCAAATGTCTGCACGTAATGAACGCATACAGATCGTTATGGTTTCTCTTTGGATAACAGCGTCAGCTAAATGTGATGTTTACAACAGAGGTGTTTGTTGTTGTTTATTCTGTATGTTTATATAATGTCTTCCTCCTGTTGTCCTCCCAGACGAGCTCCACCCGTGGCTCCTCCGCCTGCTGGACTGCGCTGGTATTGCGGACGAAGCGCTCCACACGTTTGACGGCGTGTCGCTGCCTCGTTACGACCTTCAGGCGGCCGCCATCATCATCGTCACCATGAAGCTGCTCTTCAGCCTGGACGACCACACCGAGTGGTAAAGGGACTACAGGAATAAAGACTGAGAGGGATTAATAGAGGGAAAGATACATACATATATAAATAGATAGATATATAAATACATGATGAATAAATAAGCTCCTCTTCGGCCTCACACTTTTACTCAAAAGTCTCTTTCAAACCGTTTGGACTTTCTTTAAATGTTTATTTCAGACCGTCAAATAAAAAATCAGCTAAATTTAAAGGGGACCTATCATGCAAAATGCACTTGTGTACGTCTTTTCTACATGAATATGTGTCCCCGGTGTTCCAGGGAACTCACCAAGTGTCAGAAAACACAACCCTCTCTATTTTCCTCCATACCCAAATCTCTAAAAAAGGGGCTGCAACGGATCTGATAAAAACTGATCCAGATTTGAACACTGTCCTGACGTCAGAAACAGGGAGCTCCGCCTATATGGCCAACTCTCCACCTATCAGGGGAATGTGGGGTTGGGCCACGCCCACGGCCATTGCCGCTCGAAAGCGCTGGAGACGCTGTAGTACATATGCCAGGCCTGTAAGTGGCGCTGTAGTCTGCCACAAAAGCAGCGAAGAAGACTTCTCACAGAATCAGCCCCCTGCAAAAACAGGGCTGGAAAAGAGCAAATAGAGCGAAATGAGGCATGGCTGAAATGCATGATCTGTTTGGTATTTTGAAAAAAAAACTTCACAGACATGTTTTATATAGGTATGGCCCTACAATATATGTTTCAAATATAGCATGATAGGTCCACTTTAAACAAAGTTCAGGAACGTTTTTAGGCTTTTAACCTGTTAAGCCCGAGAGACCCCGGTACCGGGGCACTGCCGCAACATCTTGCAGGAAACAGTGTCTGAGGGCATGTTCATTTAATAAACTATGAATGTTTTATATCCATGTAACGGGAAGAAACTCATCTAACTGATCTTTTTTTTTTTTTTTTCAAAAGAAAACCCACAATGCTAACACTGAGCCTCTGAATTAGCAACGAGCTAAAAATGCTAACACCTTACTGCACCGAAAATCACTCAGAAAACCTTATTTATCTCTTCTCTACATCCATGACATCGATTCACATCATGAGGTGACACAGAATCTATTGACACCGACATTACCACTGAATTATACGTATTTGCGACGTTATAAGCAAAAACGGACATCAAAACAGGTGACGCTAGGTAGCTAAAAATGCTAACATTTTTACCTTGGCTCTGTAGTCTCTCCAAAGTGGTCTTCAATGGCATTAAATCGATAAAAACGCTGCTGAAGTTAATCCATAGGTTAATCCAATGTGTCTGTGTCCCTTTGAAATGATTTCTGATAATCCATAAGCATTAAAACTGCTTTTCCATTTCTAGATGTCAAAGCTAGAGTATAGGTTGCTCTGATGCTAAATTACATGCGTGAAGCCCTCACCTTTTCTCTTCACAACGTGTGTGTGTGGGGGACTCCCCCTTCGATTCTATTGGCTCTAACGGTCAGAAAGAGGTGTCAACCATCAAAATCGAGCAAGTGGGGCCAGAGATATGGAAAATCCACCCAAATGACCCCAGAAGTGGTTTATTTTTGCTAAATCTCTCTAAAAAGGTCAAATGTCACTTGTTTTGCATCAATCTTGATACAGGGTACTTATTATATGTTGTACTTTGGATTCCTAAAGCTTTTAGTCTACTAACCCATCATCCAAGGGTAGTTTTCACTATAAGTAAAAAATAATGTTTGGACGGACACTATAATTTACAGTTTTTTACTATGTAAAATCTGAATTTTCTTTAAAATAAAAAACATCTATATTGAATCTGACTTTTCTACATCCAACTCACAGGTTTATCATTACTTTGAGAATAAAGATTATTAATTTAACCCTTTTAGAAGGGAAGATATGGTCATTTGTTCTGGGAATGTCATTTTCGAGCCTGAGACCTGAAAAACAGGCTCAGAGCTTAACAGGTTAATGAAACATTTGTAATGACAGAGAAATAAGGTTTTGTAAAAAAGATTGAAGTGAAAACTGACTTCTTTTTGTCTTTTAGGGATTTATCAAACGACGCAGGAGACCATGAAGACGCAGGTGAGTTCTTCATCAAAGGAATAATACGGAGCCTCCCACACCGTGTTCAGTGTACGGGCAACACAGAGAGAAAGAGGAATATTTTGAGTCATAAAATCAAAGGAAAAAACTTTAGAAAAATCTGAACTTTTAGCCCCAAATTAATACCTTTTTTTACATTTATTTTCTTTAATAAAATATTAAATATCACATTTTTAAAAGTGTTTAGTCTGCCGTCTTGTCTGCACACTTCATTAACTCCTGTTTTTAAAAACCGGTATCAGTGTGTAGTTATTTCGCCATCATTTTACGGTAAAATATGTTCAGTTTGCTGTTGTTGTTGTTGTTGGTACAATAGTATCTACATGGAGCTAAGCCCCGCCTCCTCGCCAGCTGTTGTGTGTCACAGTGTTTTACTCAACCAATAAGAGCAGAGGACGTGTCATGTGATCAGGGGGGGATATAACAGTGTGAAGAGACGGGACTTTAGACGTGGTTTGAGGCATTTGATTTGAGGCGTGATTTGAGACGTGATTTGAGGCATTTGAGGCGTGATTTGGAGACGTGATCAGATTTTGAGATACAGAAACATTTACACCTGTTTTTAATACAAATCAAATGTTTGAAATGTCCCCTCCATGCTGTTTTCTCACCTGGTGTGTGTGTGTGTGTGTGTGTGTGTGTGTGTGTGTGTGTGTGTGTGTGTGTGTGTGTGTGTGTGTGTGTGTGTGTGTGTGTGTGTGTGTGTGTGTGTGTGTGTGTGTGTGTGTGTGTGTGTGTGTGTGTGTGTGTGTGTGTGTGTGTGTGTGTGTGTGTGTGTGTGTGTGTGTGTGTGTGTGTGTGTGTGTGTGTGTGTGTGTGTGTCAGGAAACATGTTTAACCTGCGGCGCTGGTTCCGGCTGCTGTCGGCCGCTCTGACGGACGCTCAGCGACAGAAACAGAGCGACGTCGCCAGGTGAGAAAAGCATCACCTGAGACGACCTATCACCTTCAGTGCAGTTTGCAATCAGTTTAAGAACTTTATAAATCATTTATTTTATTGACATGATGGTATAACTTGTTTTTTTGTTGCATTGTTATTCACCTTCTTTTTAATAATGAATCCGTCTTCTCTCTCTGCGTCTCGTCCTCAGGAGACAGTGGATGGCAAAGAAACCTCTCTGCGCCACCAGCGAGAAGAAATGTGCCAGGATGAAAAAACAACGTGAGAAGATATCAATCAAAAACACGTCAATAAATACAGATATACTGTCTCTCACCTGTCTCTCACCTGTCTCTCCTGTCTCACCTGTCTCCCCTGTCTCACCTGTCTCCCTCTCACCTGTCTCACATGTCTCCCTCTCACCTGTCTCCCCCTCCCCTGTCTCACCTGTCTCCCTCTCCCCTGTCTCACCTGTCTCCCTCTCACCTGTCTCACCCTCCCCTGTCTCCCCTCACCCTGTCTCACCCTCACCTGTCTCACCCCTCACCTGTCTCCCCCCCCCCCCTGTCTCACCCTCACCTGTCTCCCTCTCACCTGTCTGTCTTCAGGAGTAGCGGAGCAGTTGCAGACGTGTTTCGAGAGGCTGTCCTCCCGTCCTGTGGCGGGGGGGCCGAGTGGGGGGCGGAGCTTCCAGTTCTGCTGGGGGGGGGGTGAGGGGGCGGGGCCTAGCCTACACAGGAAGAAGCTGGACGCTGCCCTCCGTCTGGGGAGAGACCCGGCCCCCGCAAACCCCACATACTGGCATCCAGACCTGAGAGACCCCAGGTACCACACACTCAGTACTTTAACCCCTGGTACCACACACTCAGTACTTTAACCCGGGTACCACACACTCAGTACTTTAACCCCTGGTACCACACACTCAGTACTTTAACCCCTGGTACCACACACTCAGTACTTTAACCCCTGGTACCACCACACTCAGTACACCACTCAGTACTTAACCCCTGGGTACCACACACTCAGTACTTTAACCCCTGGTACCACACACTCAGTACTTTAACCCCTGGTACCACACACTCAGTACTTTAACCCCTGGTACCACACACTCAGTACTTTAACCCCAGGTACCACACACTCAGTACTTTAACCCCTGGTACCACACACTCAGTACTTTAACCCCTGGTACCACACACTCAGTACTTTAACCTGGGTACCACACACTCAGTACTTTAACCCCTGGTACCACACACTCAGTACTTTAACCCGGGTACCACACACTCAGTACTTTAACCCCTGGTACCACACACTCAGTACTTTAACCCCTGGTACCACACACTCAGTACTTTAACCCGGGTACCACACACTCAGTACTTTAACCCCTGGTACCACACACTCAGTACTTTAACCCCTGGTACCACACACTCAGTACTTTAACCCCTGGTACCACACACTCAGTACTTTAACCCCTGGGTACCACACACTCAGTTACTTTAACCTGGTACCCACACACTCAGTTAACTTTAACCCCTGGTACCACACACTCAGTACTTTAACCCCTGGTACCACACACACTCAGTACTTTAACCCCTGGTACCAACACACTCAGTACTTTAACCCCTGGTACCACACACTCAGTACTTAACCCCTGGTACCACACACTCAGTACTTTAACCCCTGGTACCACACACTCAGTACTTTAACCCCTGGTACCACACACTCAGTACTTTAACCCTGGTACCACACACTCAGTACTTTAACCCCTGGTACCACACACTCAGTAATTTAACCCCTGGTACCACACACTCAGTACTTTAACCCCTGGTACCACACACTCAGTACTTTAACCCCTGGTACCACACACTCAGTACTTTAACCCCTGGTACCACACACTCAGTACTTTAACCCGGGTACCACACACTCAGTACTTTAACCCCTGGTACCACACACTCAGTACTTTAACCCCTGGTACCACACACTCAGTACTTTAACCCCTGGTACCACACACTCAGTACCCCTGGCTACACCACACTCAGTACTCTACCCGGGGTACCACAAAACATCTCAGTACTTAACCCGGGGTACCACACACCAGTACTTTAACCCCTGGTACCACACACTCAGTACTTAAACCCCTGGTACCACACACCTCAGTACTTTAACCGGGTACCACACACTCAGTACTTTAACCTGGGTTACCACACCACTCAGTACTTTAACCCGGGTACCACACACTCAGTACTTTAACCCCTGGTACCACACACTCAGTACTTTAACCCCTGGTACCACACACTCAGTACTTTAACCCCTGGTACCACACACTCAGTACTTTAACCCCTGGTACCACACACTCAGTACTTTAACCCGGGTACCACACACTCAGTACTTTAACCCCGGGTACCACACACTCAGTACTTTAACCCCTGGTACCACACACTCAGTACTTTAACCCCTGGTACCACACACTCAGTACTTTAACCCCTGGTACCACACACTCAGTACTTTAACCCCTGGTACCACACACTCAGTACTTTAACCCCTGGTACCACACACTCAGTACTTTAACCCGGGTACCACAAACACTCAGTACTTTAACCCGGGTACCACACACTCAGTACTTTAACCCGGGGTACCACACACTCAGTACTTTAACCCCTGGTACCACACACTCAGTACTTTAACCCGGGTACCACACACTCAGTACTTTAACCCGGGTACCACACACTCAGTACTTTAACCCGGGTACCACACACTCAGTACTTTAACCCGGGTACCACACACTCAGTACTTTAACCCGGGTACCACACACTCAGTACTTTAACCCCTGGTACCACACACTCAGTACTTTAACCCCTGGTACCACACACTCAGTACTTTAACCCCTGGTACCACACACTCAGTACTTTAACCCCTGGGTACCACACACTCAGTACTTTAACCCGGGTACCACACACTCAGTACTTTAACCCCTGGTACCACACACTCAGTACTTTAACCCGGGTACCACACACTCAGTACTTTAACCCGGGTACCACACACTCAGTACTTTAACCCGGGTACCACACACTCAGTACTTTAACCCGGGTACCACACACTCAGTACTTTAACCCGGGTACCACACACTCAGTACTTTAACCCGGGTACCACACACTAACCCAGTCTTTCCTCTCTACAGTTCGTGTAAGAGTGATTTCTCGGAGGAGTCGCTGCCTCGGAGTTTCCTCTGGCTGCTGCAGTTCTTCTGCTTCCTGCTGGACGTTGGTCAGGAGGCGCTGTACAGGGAGGTGCTGAGGCTGGAGAGGAGGCTCATCAGGAGGAAGATGAAGAAGAAGTGCTGGAGAGGAGGAGGAGGTGCTGAGGCTGGAGAGGAGGAGGTGCTGAGGCTGGAGAGGAGGAGGAAGAGGAGGAGGTGCTGAGGCTGGAGAGGAGGAGGAAGAGGAGGAGGTGCTGAGGCTGGAGAGGAGGCTCATCAGGAGGAAGATGAAGAAGAAGTGCTGGAGAGGAGGAGGAGGAGGTGCTGAGGCTGGAGAGGAGGAGGAGGAGGTGCTGAGGCTGGAGAGGAGGAGGAGGAGGTGCTGAGGCTGGAGAGGAGGAGGAAGAGGAGGAGGTGCTGACGCTGGAGAGGAGGAGGAGGAGGTGCTGAGGCTGGAGAGGAGGAGGAAGAGGAGGAGGTGCTGAGGCTGGAGAGGAGGAGGAAGAGGAGGAGGTGCTGGAGAGGAGGGTCCTCTGTGTTCTATACGGTTTACAAAAAAACTAAAATCTGACAAGAAATTCAGAAATCTGAGAAAATATATTTTTGTAGTTTTTGTATTATTGTCTCTCTCATTTGTATCTGTGTGTTTCAGTCCCTCTCTGAGGGCAACAAGACAACAATAACAAGTTGGTCACAATAAAAAAAAAAGGTCACACCTCCACTGGACTCCTTTGTTTACTTCAGGGAACACAGTGACATCACTATGGAACACTCGCGCTCCTATTGGCTAGCACTCCAACACATTGTACGTGATAGGCTAAGGGGCGGGACATCTCTAAGCTTTTTAATAACAACAGAGCCGGCCAGCTAACCAATCAGAGCAGACTGGGCTTACTGGGTATGAGTAACATTTAAAGTAGAGACACTACATACTGATATACACCTGAACATCAGCAGGAGAGGACTCTTTAAAGTAGAGACACTACATACTGATATACACCTGAACATCAGCAGGAGAGGACTCTTTAAAGTAGAGACACTACATACTGATATACACCTGAACATCAGCAGGAGAGGACTCTTTAAAGTAGAGACACTACATACTGATATACACCTGAACATCAGCAGGAGAGGACTCTTTAAAGTAGAGACACTAAATACTGATATACACCTGAACATCAGCAGGAGAGGACTCTTTAAAGTAGAGACACTAAATACTGATATACACCTGAACATCAGCAGGAGAGGACTCTTTAAAGTAGAGACACTACATACTGATATACACCTGAACATCAGCAGGAGAGGACTCTTTAAAGTAGAGACACTACATACTGATATACACCTGAACATCAGCAGGAGAGGACTCTTTAAGTAGAGACACTACATACTGATATACACCTGAACATCAGCAGGAGAGGACTCTTTAAAGTAGAGACACTACATACTGATATACACCTGAACATCAGCAGGAGAGGACTCTTTAAAGTAGAGACACTACATACTGATATACACCTGAACATCAGCAGGAGAGGACTCTTTAAAGTAGAGACACTACATACTGATATACACCTGAACATCAGCAGGAGAGGACTCTTTAAAGTAGAGACACTACATACTGATATACACCTGAACATCAGCAGGAGAGGACTCTTTAAAGTAGAGACACTACATACTGATATACACCTGAACATCAGCAGGAGAGGACTCTTTAAAGTAGAGACACTACATACTGATATACACCTGAACATCAGCAGGAGAGGACTCTTTAAAGTAGAGACACTACATACTGATATACACCTGAACATCAGCAGGAGAGGACTCTTTAAAGTAGAGACACTACATACTGATATACACCTGAACATCAGCAGGAGAGGACTCTTTAAAGTAGAGACACTACATACTGATATACACCTGAACATCAGCAGGAGAGGACTCTTTAAAGTAGAGACACTACATACTGATATACACCTGACATCAGCAGGAGAGGACTCTTTAAAGTAGAGACACTACATACTGATATACACCTGAACATCAGCAGGAGAGGACTCTTTAAAGTAGAGACACTACATACTGATATACACCTGAACATCAGCAGGAGAGGACTCTTTAAAGTAGAGACACTACATACTGATATACACCTGAACATCAGCAGGAGAGGACTCTTTAAAGTAGAGACACTAAATACTGATATACACCTGAACATCAGCAGGAGAGGACTCTTTAAAGTAGAGACACTAAATACTGATATACACCTGAACATCAGCAGGACAGGACTCTTTAAAGTAGAGACACTAAATACTGATATACACCTGAACATCAGCAGGAGAGGACTCTTTAAAGTAGAGACACTACATACTGATATACACCTGAACATCAGCAGGAGAGGACTCTTTAAAGTAGAGACACTACATACTGATATACACCTGAACATCAGCAGGAGAGGACTCTTTAAAGTAGAGACACTACATACTGATATACACCTGAACATCAGCAGGAGAGGACTCTTTAAAGTAGAGACACTACATACTGATATACACCTGAACATCAGCAGGAGAGGACTCTTTAAAGTAGAGACACTACATACTGATATACACCTGAACATCAGCAGGAGAGGACTCTTTAAAGTAGAGACACTACATACTGATATACACCTGAACATCAGCAGGAGAGGACTCTTTAAAGTAGAGACACTAAATACTGATATACACCTGAACATCAGCAGGAGAGGACTCTTTAAAGTAGAGACACTACATACTGATATACACCTGAACATCAGCAGGAGAGGACTCTTTAAAGTAGAGACACTACATACTGATATACACCTGAACATCAGCAGGAGAGGACTCTTTAAAGTAGAGACACTACATACTGATATACACCTGAACATCAGCAGGAGAGGACTCTTTAAAGTAGAGACACTACATACTGATATACACCTGAACATCAGCAGGAGAGGACTCTTTAAAGTAGAGACACTACATACTGATATACACCTGAACATCAGCAGGAGAGGACTCTTTAAAGTAGAGACACTACATACTGATATACACCTGAACATCAGCAGGAGAGGACTCTTTAAAGTAGAGACACTACATACTGATATACACCTGAACATCAGCAGGAGAGGACTCTTTAAAGTAGAGACACTACATACTGATATACACCTGAACATCAGCAGGAGAGGACTCTTTAAAGTAGAGACACTACATACTGATATACACCTGAACATCAGCAGGAGAGGACTCTTTAAAGTAGAGACACTACATACTGATATACACCTGAACATCAGCAGGAGAGGACTCTTTAAAGTAGAGACACTACATACTGATATACACCTGAACATCAGCAGGAGAGGACTCTTTAAAGTAGAGACACTACATACTGATATACACCTGAACATCAGCAGGAGAGGACTCTTTAAAGTAGAGACACTACATACTGATATACACCTGAACATCAGCAGGAGAGGACTCTTTAAAGTAGAGACACTACATACTGATATACACCTGAACATCAGCAGGAGAGGACTCTTTAAAGTAGAGACACTACATACTGATATACACCTGAACATCAGCAGGAGAGGACTCTTTAAAGTAGAGACACTACATACTGATATACACCTGAACATCAGCAGGAGAGGACTCTTTTAAAGTAGAGACACTACATACTGATATACACCTGAGCATCAGCAGGAGAGGACTCTTTAAAGTAGAGACACTACATACTGATATACACCTGAACATCAGCAGGAGAGGACTCTTTAAAGTAGAGACACTACATACTGATATACACCTGAACATCAGCAGGAGAGGACTCTTTAAAGTAGAGACACTACATACTGATATACACCTGAACATCAGCAGGAGAGGACTCTTTAAAGTAGAGACACTACATACTGATATACACCTGAACATCAGCAGGAGAGGACTCTTTAAAGTAGAGACACTACATACTGATATACACCTGAGCATCAGCAGGAGAGGACTCTTTAAAGTAGAGACACTACATACTGATATACACCTGAACATCAGCAGGAGAGGACTCTTTAAAGTAGAGACACTACATACTGATATACACCTGAACATCAGCAGGAGAGGACTCTTTAAAGTAGAGACACTACATACTGATATACACCTGAACATCAGCAGGAGAGGACTCTTTAAAGTAGAGACACTACATACTGTGCTTAAAAGCATTTCCAATAAAGTTAAACAACTCAGTCTATGGTCATTATTGAATATAGAGTTATATTAAAGGGGGAAACAAGTCGTCTCCTGTGTTGCTGGTTCTCAGTTTCTTATTGTTTCACCTTTTGGACTTTTTCTTGTTTTTCCGTTTGTATTTGAGGTTGTTGTTTATCTGAAGACAAAGAGAGCTGAGAGGCAGGAAGTGAGCAGCAGGGGGCGCCACACTGCAGAGAAACACCACAGTGTGAGGGAAGCACTCTGCAATCATGTGGACATCACTTTAATGTTATTTATTCACTTTATACACCTTTCATTGTAGAAGAAGTAAATATTCTTATATTTTGTAATTAATAATGGGAATCCTTAAAGTTCCAAAAGAACAATATTAAATCTAAAGAAGCAGAAATGGGTGAAATAGTTTATTGCAGTATTGATGTTTTTCATACTGCACATAGTTAATCTGATGTAAAACTATCTCTCACTATTTTAATAATTTGACAAAGCAATTAACTAATTGATTAATAATACAAATAATAATTCATCAGATTAATTTAAAATGAGCTCCAGCTTTAAAAATCACAACATGCGTTTACAATGACGCAGGACAAATAATAATCTAATATTATATATAATTATATCATTTTGTAAAAAAAGTCAAACATTTGAAAAAAGTCTAAAAAAAATTCCACATTTTGAAAATGGTCAAAATAAAAAAAAATGCTAAAGATGATTAAACCTGTAAAAGAAAATAGAATGAAATAAAATTGCAGGAAAATACAATTATAATAAAAAAAAACATAAAATTATAAACATAACTGCAGTACCACAGACATCCTGTGGTGGTGTTGTGAGAGTGAGTGCTGTGTCTCTTCTCTCAGAGTAAACAGAGGTCACGTGACGCTCCGTCTGGACTCCAGCTTGTTGCCGGGGTGACGGGAGGTAACGGCTCTGTAGTATCACCATGGCAACAGCCGCTGCACAGACACACAGGATGTCCTCATCGAGGGGGTCACTCCCTGTTCATTTTAACTGGAGTTATTTTAACTTTAATTTAAACTTTTTTTATTTTTGATATTTTATCTATTTTTTTAAATTATAGTTTTATTGTTTTTTAAATTATAATTTATGTTTTTTTAAATAATAATTTATGTTTTATTTTTAATAATTGTATGGGGTTATTATACTCTTTTCTTTCCTGCTAGTTGACTCAATCCAGTTGTTTGTAATTTAATATTTAGATGCGTTATTTCGATTATGGGTTAGGGTAATTTAATTGATTTGTTTTTTACATTTTTTTATTATTATCATATTTTCATTTTACTTCAACGTATGTGTTTACATATTTCTTACAACAATTATATATTTTTTATTTGATCTTTATTTTAAGCCAAGTAAGTTTTCTTTTGTATTTGTTATTTAACTTCATTTAATTTAATCTTACACTGAACTGAAACTGTGTTCACCTGAAATGACCCTGTGAGGTACTGCAGCAGAAAGGAAACTACCCCGAGAGGGTGAATCAGGTACTGCAGCAGAAAAGAAACTACCCCGAGAGGGTGAATCAGGTACTGCAGCAGAAAGGAAACTACCCCGAGAGGGTGAATCAGGTACTGCAGCAGAAAGGAAACTACCCCGAGAGGGTGAATCAGGTACTGCAGCAGAAAGGAACAAAGAGAGTCTCTTTATAAATCATAAATATATAAAATAAATAATAGGTATTTGATAAATAAATTAATCTTGTTTTTAGGTAAACAAAGTATGTGCAGGGAGCCTGAAAATCAACAAGTGTATCTTCATCTGCTTTTGTTTTGAATGTATTCTATTTGTTTTTGTGTTTTAATTGTTATATTATTATTATTTTATGTTACTTCCCTTAGTTTGTTATTTATTTCGTTTTTTATTTTCATATTTTTTTGGCATTAGACTGGAATGAAACTGTGACCTGAAATGAGTGAGGGTAAATCAGGTACTGCAGCAGAATGTAACAAAGAGTCTCTGTAATAAACATTTTCATTATATTTTCTTTTTATATTTATGGTAATCTTTTGTCTTTTATTATTTTGTTTATCTTTTACAATTTTTTGTAATGTTATCTTTGTTTTAAGTTTGTGAAGGTTTGTGTTGTTTGTGTTATAGTTGTAAAGATTATTATTTTATTTTTATTTTTTTACTATTTCTACAGATATAATGTTTTGTTAAGTGTTTGTATTTTATCCTTATTTTTTATTTTGTGAAATAAAACTGGTTACCTGAAATGACCCCAAGAGGGTAAACCAGGTACTGCAGCAGCTGAGAACAAAGACCTTTACTCTCTATTTAGAAGAAGAAGAAGAAGGACCTTTATTAAATTCAGTTTCCACTCTGTCGTACACACACATGCGTTTTTATACAGTGACCAGTGAGCATTTGGGGGTTAGGTGCCTTGCTCAAGGGCACTTCGGCAGTGGCCCAGGAGGTGAACTGGCTCCTCTCCAGTACCAGTCCAATCCCCTACAGACTGAACCACTGCCAATAAAGTGATATAAAAACTAATTACTGCTTTAGTGCACATCCCAAAACAAGGTTTATATGATCAAATACTATTTATTTATTTTTATCTCTATTTCATTTACTTATTTTATTATTCTCTCCCTATTTCTAATTTTTTTAATCTATTTGTTTCTTTTCATTCAGGCTGAGATGTGGTTACCTGAAATGACCCAAAGAGGACAAACCAGGTACTGCAGCAGCTGAGAGCAAAGAGTTTCTTTTCATTCAGGCTGAGATGTGGTTACCTGAAATGACCCCAAGAGGACAAACCAGGTACTGCAGCAGCTGAGAGCAAAGAGTTTATTTTCATTCAGGCTGAGATGTGGTTACCTGAAATGACCCCAAGAGGACAAACCAGGTACTGCAGCAGCTGAGAGCAAAGAGTTTATTTTCATTCAGGCTGAGATGTGGTTACCTGAAATGACCCCAAGAGGACAAACCAGGTAACTGCAGCAGTAGCTCTCACTGTTAAGGGTTATATGAAGGTTTATATCTCTATTATATATTTTACCTAAATATACTGTTTTACCTTTTCTATTATTATACTTATTTATTTACTTGTTTCCATTTAATCCCAATTCATTTTTTATTTTACATTTTAATTTTCAGATTTTTTTTTTTTTTATATATATATATATATTATTATTATTTCTTTTAATCCTATTTTCAATTAATTTTGTCTACTTTTATTGTATTTTGTATTTTTACTTCCTCTCAGACTGAGACTCTGGTTACCTTAAATGACCCCAAGAGGATAAATCAGGTTACTGCAGCAGCCGAGAACAAAGAGAGTCTCTGTACTACTATAGCTACTATAGACTGTTTAACTATTTAAAAAATAGATACAATAAAAAATACATGTTTAAAAAAAACTATTACTGAAAATGGCATATTAGATGATGTAGAAAGTAGAAATCACTTGAAGAAAATGTTGACTATAAATAATAATAATAAAAAGTGTGTGTGTGTGTGTGTATGTGTGTGTGTGTGTCTCTGTGTGTGTGTTTGTGTGTGTGTGTGTGTGTCTCTGTATGTGTGTTTGTGTTTGTGCGAGTGTGTGTGAGTGTGTGTGTGTGTGTGTGTGTGTGTGTGTGTGTGTGTGTGGACAGGAAGTGTTTGTTGATGTTTGACGCCTGGTCTGGAAATAGCCGCCTCAGCAATAGAAAAACTCCCATCATGCCTTTCACCATGTTGTTTTCATGATTTCTGTTTTAAAGTGACCCCTCTCATCTGAGCGTCTCCTGGCAGGTAAAGAAGCGTCAGTGTTTACCTTGTGAAGCCTCGCTAAAGAGAGCAGCAGCCAATAGTTATGGGTTTATTAAAAAACAAACAAACAAACAGACAAACAGACAGCAACTAGAGAATGCAATTCCTGAAGAAATTGCTAGTGGGAATGCTTTATGCTGAAATGTAATGTGTAAGAAGAAAGTGAAGAATTTAGATTGAAATGATACATGAACACTGGGGGCTTGAATGTGTGATGAGAGAAGTAAAGAAAGTAAAAAGGCTTGGAAAAGCAGCAGAATATTTGAAATGCAAACTTTTGAACTAACTTGATGGCGAATGATCTGTCGCCATGCCAACGGCATTTGATGACATCCCATAATACGCTTAGATGCGTTGATGGCTGTGTTACCAAACCTGTGAAGTTTTGGGCCATTTGGAGCATTTTCACTGAAGTTATGAGAAAACCGTGTTTCATGGCGGGCATTGTGTTGCCATGGCAACGGCATGTCCCGTAGATGTCTTCACGGCTGGACTGTTAGCACACATGTGAAGTTTGAGCACTTTTTGAACATTTTCATAGGAGTTATAGCGACATCGTCTTTTATGGCGAGGGATGCATTTCCATGGAAACGGCATATGGTGAGATCTCAGATTTGGCGTAGAGCTGTTGAGGCATGGACCGGTGATATACAAGTGAAGATTGGGGGACGATCGGACCGTGTCCATTGGACTTACAGCGACATCGTGCTTCATGGCGAGTGGTCTGTCGCCATGGCAACAGCATTTGAAGAAATCTCAAAACGGTCCCGTAGATGTCTTCACGGCTGGACTGTTAGCACACATGTGAAGTTTTAGCACTTTTTGAACATTTTCATAGGAGTTATAGCGACATCATCTTTTATGGCGAGGGATGCATTTCCATGGAAACGGCATATGGTGAGATCTCAGATTTGGCGTAGAGCTGTTGAGGCATGGACCGGTGTGGCAGAGAGAGAGAGAGAGAGAGAGAGAGAGAGAGAGAGAGAGAGAGAGTATGAAATGAACAGTTAGAACTGACTGCTGTCAGTTGGAGTGATGACATCATCGTGTTCCATTACACAGGTGTTTATAGTTGAGCTAACGAGCTATCAAAGGTTTCATTGTTCTGAATGAGAGATGAACCTCTTACATGTGAACGTTTTGTGGAAGAACGATAACAGATATCTGTGAAATTTCAAAACGTGAAGCATGTCAAGGAAGTTGAGTATCTGAAGTGTAATTTTTGTGTACTTTCGGGTTAATAATGTGGCCTTTTTGGCAGTTTAACTAAAGGTAAATATCTGCCTGAAATTACAATGGGCTTTAATGGAGACATGTTGAACGTTTTTGTCACTTCATGCCCTCAAGAGGCATTTTGTTTAATTATTTTTGCTTAATTATTTGTCATTTTTCAAGCTACGATATGTTTTCCTGCGTTTCTCATGAAAAATTATGTCTCAGGAATGTAGGGTTTGGGAATTATGGCAGTTTTAAAAAAAAATATGAAGGGAAATTTCAAGATTTCCTACCCTCTAGCTGTGACATCACGCACTCTAACTTAACGAGCTGCGCAATGTTAAAGTTAAAATGTTAAAAATGTGATGTATTATGGGATGTATCTTTGGAATTATGAAAGTTATGAATGATAAAAGTAATAGCAGTCGATTCCCGACCAAGCTGAACGTTTTGATGTTTGAACAGAGTTTCTGCGATGTTGAATGTAGGAGGAGAAGAGGGACAAAATAATTGGACGGAATAATAAACTTTTTGTCCGTAGCATAACATATAGTGGGATTGCTGTATCAGATACATAGATAACTAAACTCAGATAACTAAACTCAGATAACTAAACTCAGATAACTAAACTCAGATAACTAAACTCTGATAACTAAACTCATATAACTAAACTCTGATAACTAAACTCAGATAACTAAACTCTGATAACTAAACTCAGATAACTAAACTCAGATAACTAAACTCAGATAACTAAACTCTGATAACTAAACTCAGATAACTAAACTCTGATAACTAAACTCAGATAACTAAACTCAGATAACTAAACTCAGATAACTAAACTCTGATAACTAAACTCAGATAACTAAACTCAGATAACTAAACTCTGATAACTAAACTCAGATAACTAAACTCTGATAACTAAACTCAGATAACTAAACTCATATAACTAAACTCAGATAACTAAACTCTATAACTAAACTCAGATAACTAAACTCTGATAACTAAACTCAGATAACTAAACTCAGATAACTAAACTCTGATAACTAAACTCAGATAACTAAACTCAGATAACTAAACTCTGATAACTAAACTCAGATAACTAAACTCAGATAACTAAACTCAGATAACTAAACTCAGATAACTAAACTCAGATAACTAAAGATAGATAACTAAACTCATATAACTAAACTCATATAACTAAACTCAGATAACTAAACTCTGATAACTAAACTCAGATAACTAAACTCAGATAACTAAAGATAGATAACTAAACTCTGATAACTAAACTCAGATAACTAAACTCTGATAACTAAACTCAGATAACTAAACTCAGATAACTAAAGATAGATAACTAAACTCATATAACTAAACTCATATAACTAAACTCAGATAACTAAACTCTGATAACTAAACTCAGATAACTAAACTCAGATAACTAAAGATAGATAACTAAACTCTGATAACTAAACTCAGATAACTAAACTCAGATAACTAAACTCTGATAACTAAACTCAGATAACTAAACTCTGATAACTAAACTCAGATAACTAAACTCAGATAACTAAACTCAGATAACTAAACTCAGATAACTAAACTCAGATAACTAAACTCAGATAACTAAACTCAGATAACTAAACTCTGATAACTAAACTCAGATAACTAAACTCAGATAACTAAACTCAGATAACTAAACTCAGATAACTAAACTCTGATAACTAAACTCAGATAACTAAACTCAGATAACTAAACTCAGATAACTAAACTCAGATAACTAAACTCAGATAACTAAACTCAGATAACTAAACTCATATAACTAAAGATAGATAACTAAACTCTGATAACTAAACTCAGATAACTAAACTCAGATAACTAAACTCAGATAACTAAAGATAGATAACTAAACTCATATAACTAAACTCATATAACTAAACTCTGATAACTAAACTCTGATAACTAAACTCAGATAACTAAACTCAGATAACTAAACTCAGATAACTAAACTCAGATAACTAAACTCAGATAACTAAACTCTGATAACTAAACTCTGATAACTAAACTCTGATAACTAAACTCAGATAACTAAACTCTGATAACTAAACTCAGATAACTAAACTCAGATAACTAAACTCATATAACTAAACTCTGATAACTAAACTCAGATAACTAAACTCAGATAACTAAACTCATATAACTAAACTCATATAACTAAACTCAGATAACTAAACTCAGATAACTAAACTCAGATAACTAAACTCTGATAACTAAACTCTGATAACTAAACTCTGATAACTAAACTCAGATAACTAAACTCTGATAACTAAACTCAAATAACTAAACTCTGATAACTAAACTCATATAACTAAACTCAGATAACTAAACTCAGATAACTAAACTCAGATAACTAAACTCATATAACTAAACTCAGATAACTAAACTCTGATAACTAAACTCAGATAACTAAACTCAGATAACTAAACTCTGATAACTAAACTCAGATACTAAACTTGCTAAACTCAGATAACTAAACTCTGATAACTAAACTCAGATAACTAAACTCAGATAACTAAACTCAGATAACTAAACTCTGATAACTAACTCAGATAACTAAACTCAGATAACTAAACTCAGATAACTAAACTCAGATAAATAAACTCAGATAACTAAACTCAGATAACTAAACTCAGATAACTAAACTCTGATAACTAAACTCAGATAACTAAACT